AGCCTTATTGCTTTTTGTTCTTGATTATTAATTTATTTTAGTTAGTCTTATCTTTCTCTATATTGAATTAATAACTATTAACGAATTCTATAATTTCTATTACACTAGATTCATACAAAAAACTGCTATACCTTTATTAAATAATATTGGTAAAATTAAATATAAAAACAAATATTTTAAACTTAATAATACTCAATAATAATATGTCACGTTATTTAACAGAATATACATATATTATTTAATTGTCAAAATTAATTATGTTATGCTACTGTAGTTGGATGTTTTATATAAAGTGATCCTTTTAATGTGCAATCCAGTGTAGTGCGAGTGATTGAATTCACCTTAAGATAAACAAAATAACGATGCGTAATGTTATATACACGAAATATATGCATAATAATAATGATGACGATGAAAAATAGACTAAAGAAGATTGTAATTAAATTAATATTGATTATACAATATGTATTCAAATCTATATTTTAATTGACATATTTATATTGTATTATTTTTGCAGCGCTGTATAATATAGTATCTTCATTCGTGATGTTGTTTACGGCTAATAAATTTCGCAAACGATGCAAGGTTGACCAACTAGATTCACAACTGGCCTTACCAATGCCGAAATATAAGACTGTTATGTGTAAGAAAGCGTCAGATAGCGTGTCAGCTCGCTCAGAAAGGAATCTGACGACGCAGTTAATAATGTGCCTGTCCGGCGCCACGTACCAACTTGTATTTGCTACCTGCCTACACGTATACATGTACATGCGCACGTAGGCACTCGTGCATATATTTCTATAAGCTTTCAATCATACGTATACGGAGTACTCCAAACAGTCAACAACTCACGATCGAATCTTCGATTATCGAAAGAATATCAAAGAATAATGAATAACGTGTTAGCTATCATTTATTTTGAAACGTGTGCGCTGATATATAGGCCAAAATTGCGTCAGACATGTAATGTGGCGCCGGGAGGGAAAAGATGGATCATATTTTATTGATACGACACGTAATGTAAAACTAGGATATACGATCGTCGGTGTTCGAGAAAATAATATGAAGCCCGCAAATTATTTCCTACAATTTAAAAATAGATATTTTTATCAAGGTTGCGCTTATTGATATTGCAATTTTATTTGATTGCTATATATATTTTGAAAAATTAAATTATTTAACTTTTGACTTTCACCAGTAAATGCCTTGGTATTTATCGATCTTCTGATTCAACTTAAAGAACCTAATTAAAGTTACTCATATAATCAATAAAGAACAGTCTTAACGTTTATTGTATGTATTTTCGAAGTTCACTTTATCGAAACCTTCTATAACTGTCTGCAAAACTGATTTGTAAATTTTTATAAATCAAAAACTAACGGTTTAATCTGTGATGTTTATTATTAAGAACTCTATAAATATTATTGTTAGAGCGCTCAACGTATCTCTTTAAAACCAGTATATCGATCTTGTGATATCGAATCTTGCTTGCTCTTTCCTTTTTTTCTTTTATTCAGAAGTAGATCAATTGAAAGGTCAAGTAAGTAAATTTGTATATATTATAAAGACTTAACATTTCTCGCTTGACAACAGAGAATAATTAAACGATTTATTTACTCGAAATACCACACACACACATATATGTTGGAAATTCTATTCCAAAACTTCGTAAATCTACGAGACTTATAATATTATAAGCATAGCAGAAATTTTCTCGCAGAAATTATATAGTTATAATGAGAACGGAAAGTTTCTATTTTAATATTTTTATAATGTTTGTTATATATTAATAATAATTAGAGTTGAGGACTAGTTATAAGTTCAAAAAACTTCTTTTTTGTGTTATCCTATTTGAAAGAGAAACATTCTTTGCGCTCAAATATGATAAAAGAAGTTTTTTACAAAGAAATATTACTGCAGCATATTACTATCTGCATGAAAATTGTTGTTCGAATTAGCTAAATTAACGTACAAATTTTCGATCAATGAAAGCACAAATGTGCACATGTTTTTCAGCATGGCAAGCTATGCGGATTTATTATTACGCACAGCATGTGAATCGAACGCTAATTTGATGATCACATTCATTTGGACTTGATAAAAGGTTCGACATATACTATGCAATAGCGATTTTGCAGGTGGGCGAATTAGGCTAATTACAGAGGCACCATTGAGTCTCGAAGATCAAAAATATGTTTCTTTATGAAATGAAGGTCATATGCTCACACATATAATTTGTTAAGAAGACTTTAAATTTACGATACGTGTAGGCTGTTTTCTTTTAACTTCACACATAATATGTTTGATGTCTCTTATTTTAATATCTAATGAAAATTACATACTTATTGCTTTGCAATTTTGCACTTTTTTTTTATTAAATATTTTAATATAAAAAATTTATTTTGAACATTTTAAATTAAAGTTTTATTAAAATTGATTTAATTTAAATCGGAATATTATAGAAATATGAAAAAAATAAGATTTTATTATTTTTCCCATTTTTAAAGTTTAATAAAATTGTTATTGTTTAATTTTTTGTAATTTATTGTAATTTTAAATGAAAAACCCAAAAAGTTGATAATTCAATATTTTTAGTCTTTATCTTGTTAAAAATTTATCGTTAAAATATTAGAAACTTCAAAGTTACGAACCTCGAAAAGTATAAACATGTTACTGATAACTTGTTGCAACGATAATACAAGTTTTCTAACACTGTTAGAATAACTTTACAGCGCGACAAAAAATGATATAATAAGTCTAATTGGAAAGATTCGCAAGATTGTGTCAGTAAAGTTATGCGTGAGAGTTTGTACTAAATAAACATTAATATTTTTGCTTCGTACGAATCGTGCAACATTTCTCATGCTTTTACCGTTATCTTAACGGCTATATAATTTTTATCTTGTAATTTCTATTTAGATAAGATAAAATTAAAATCAGATTAACTAGTAGCAGACATTTTGTTCTCTCAAAGCCGTTTTGCTCTGTTTGTAAACATAAATTAAGTACATTATACGCTGATTACAACTGCGTACGTAATCAAATTGTCCAGTCACAGTAATTATAACAAAGTTCCAATTATAATTAGAAAACTTTATTTTAATTATAACTAATTTTCCTTATACTTCTTTGGAGAACATAACGATTTCGTTCTCTGTCAATTTTACACAAACTTTAATAAAATTAAATGGTTAAAATTGATAAAAGATAACTGTGTGTGTGTGTGTGTGTGTGTGTGCGTGCGTGCGTGCGTGCGTGCGTGCGTGCGTGCGTGCGTGCGTGCGTGCGTGCGTGCGTGTGTGTGTGTGTACATATTTATAAATGTATGTATTGTACATTATTTATTGTTGATTAAGTAGGTATACATAAATACCTATATAAAATTACATTGTACATTATATTATTATATATGGTTATCGTAACAAAATATCTTTATATGAGAAATTACCAATTATGATTGGAAATAAATAACAATACTGATTTTTTTATTTTACATAGAGTGGCTGGTACTGCAGGAGCGATAGTAACTTGTCCACTTGAAGTAGTAAAGACCCGATTGCAGTCATCGTCTTCCGGCTTTCATCCACCTCCGATAAGCAAAGAATTTACATCTGGTCATCCAACATGCAAAGGTTCACCGACACCCGAGCAACGTAGGAGGCTGTGCACTGGATATCCTAGGTAAATCAAAGAAAATCAAATTGATTAAACTAATACTGATTTATTATTTCGCGAAAGTTTATTATATTATAATTTGTCCAACTTTACAAGTTGTTTTATAATTGATCCAAAGAACTCTTTGATCATTATCTCTTTGATATTATCTCTTATCTGACATATTGCACCCAGTAAGAAAAATGATACTCGAAATTTTTTAATATGCGGATTGTGTTTTAAATACATCGATCTTTGATCAGAATAAGTGATACAAGTTGAAGTTAAACACTTTTAAAGAAAAATGACACAAATCAAAATAGGGATAATGTTTAGGGATAACATAACATTGGAACAATATTAATATCTATTTGCTTTTAGACAACTTAAAACAAGCAATTTGTGATATGTCCAAGTTATCTCTTATGTCTAATACCGTAATAAATAATAATTAATTTTAAAATATGTAATTTTTGTGAAAAAGACGCGTGTTATAAACGTAGCTTTTTTTCATCTCCAGGTATTCCAGTCACTTTGTAGCTCTTTCACATTTCGGTGTGTCGACCTCACCTCCGGATTCTTCCCGAAACGCACCAGGCATTTATCAATGCTTAAGGTACATCATCAAGAATGAGGGTGCACGAGGACTGTTTAAAGGCCTTGGTCCGAATCTCATTGGTGTGGCACCCTCCAGAGCTATATACTTTTGTGCGTACTCCAAGAGCAAAGTCGCATTCAACGCGATTCTACCTCCCGATACTCCGATCGTCCACGTTTTCTCTGCGTCCTGCGCTGGTAAGACTATACTATTATAATATTATTAAATTAGATATATAGAGTGCTAGTTAAGTATGTTGCCATACTCAACAGAGCGATTCTTTGGTTTATTTTAAGTAAAAAAAGTTCATAAAAACATGTGTCCTAAACGGCTTAGTTTCTGAAATACAGGTGAATGTTCGCAATGTTTAACGAAACGATAAATTGCGTTGAATATCTTCCTATTCGCATATTATAAAGCATAAATTTGCCTTGCTTCATGTGAGTTACCATTCGCACAACCGTAAACAAAATGACAAAGTCAAAGTCTCCTAGATTACCAAACTTAAATCCTTTGGATTATTTCCTTTGGGGGCTCTGAAATCATTAGTTTATGCCACCCTAATTGAGAATGAGAATGATTTGAGAAATCGAATAGTTGCTTCATGCGAGGCAATACGTAACACAGCTGGTGCAATCTTTGAGCATGTACGTCAATCTTTGAGAAGAAGGCTCGATGGATGTATCATGACGCAAGGTGGACATTTTCAACAATTCATCTAATTGTTTTATTTCATCAGAAGAACTGTGAAGCCTGTTTTTGTTTTTCTGTTTTTGACTAGTTTTTTACTAGTTCAAGTTGTATTTCTTTCAAATAAACAGATTATTACTACACGTTTAAATTTTTTTATTTTGGAAACTAAGTCATTTAGGACATATGTTTATATAAACTTTTTTACTTGAAATAAATCAAAGAATCGCTCTGTTAAGTATGGCAACATACTTAACTAACACCCTGTATATACCGCGATATACTACAATCCTCGTATTTGTCCAAATTCCAGTTTTAAATCTCTAAATGGATTAATTAGTCTTAAAATAATTTCAATTCTAAAATCATTTTAAATTTGGATCGAATAAGTATACAGGCGGGAATTAACTTAGCAATTGATATATTTTTTGATATTGTAATTTTCATAGTTTTGAAATGCTTTATATTGTTAATAGTTATTGTTAAATTAAATTTTTAATATATTTTTTACATTAAATTAAGCAAGTGTTTTTTATGCTAATAATATTTTTTAAACTATACTACAATGTTTGAGATTTAAATGTTTCTTCTTTAATCTATTCGAGTTCAGTTCTATTCTATTTTTTAACCATTTTAATTATTCATGCATTTTCTGCATTATATTATGATAGAAGTTATATTAAAATATGATTGTGAAATGCATTCTAGAATTTTCATATTTTTTATATAAATGAATGACTTAAAATAAATGACACCGTATATTGACTAATAACGGATATATAAAATTTCATAGTATACGACAATATAATAATATGAAAATATCATTAGAGAATATTATTAAGCGTATATACTTATTCATGGATCGATAGATGCCAATTCATGCTCATTACTTCGTGATCGTTAAGGCAATGTTTTTTATAATAATTTTTTCCATGTCACTTACTTTGAATCAACCTACAGTTTAGCCTATGAAATGATCATAAGTTTACATTTGTTTGCATTTATTACGCATTATCTCGTTTAAAATTGCATTACATTGCAATTTTCTAAGTGTCGCCACTGTGTATCTCTATGCTATTTTTCATTGATCAGCTATTTTTGTATTATGCAATGAAGATAAACTATCTCTTTATCGCGATCATGACCCAATATTCTACAAATAAGATATGATATAATTATAATAATATAATAATATAATTAAAATAAATTCACAACAAATAGCAGTATTATAAATAATCTTTTACAAACAATATGATTTTATATTTTTATTGCGTAGAATTTGAGAAAATTGATTCTTGAAGAAAACAAGAAACTTATAAAAAATATTTTCTTAAAATATTGAATCTAGAATGTCTTGCGATAAAGTTAAGTTTAAAATAGATTTTATTTCTTATATACTACATGTTATCTCGTCGTATCATATGTTGCGCTGTTTCCTTATGTTTCCTTCGATAAATCCAATCACTAGAATGATGATAAACGCGCGATTAATGTTCGATGAGGGGAAAAGTATTCGCGTCATTCATGCGTTTATCTTTAATGGATATATCGAAGTGCGGACGTCGCATTGCGATTTTGACGCGCAGCTCGAACTCTTTTGATGTCGATAACCCAGGACACTCGGTATATATACCCATTGGTACAATTATAGTAGTATATTAGCACACTTTTAGTCTCATTTTTTTTATTCTTATCATTATTACTCTTATTTTTTTCTATTCAGATGTTTTCGAAATAGATAGTGATCAACTTGAATAAATTTTTTATATAAAATACATTAAATTTTTTTTTTATTTAAGTAGCTAATATGAGTTATCTTCTGAACATAAAAAGAAAAAGATAAAAAATTGAAGATAAAAAAATTACTGAAGAAATTACTCAATTTGATGAATTGCTTTTATAAATTCAATTTTAATGTCAATGTTCAATTTTATGTTTTATCTTTGGAAACTAAAATATCACATTTTCTTTGTAACAATATACATATATAATTGCCACTAAACTATTAATAGTTAGAAATAATAGTTATAATTGTTTACAATTATAAAATTATAGCTAATCATTTTAAGCAAAAAGTTTTTAAATGTTTTTAAACAGTTAAAAAATTAATGAGTTTTTACATTTTTCTTACTAAAAATGCATGAAGCATAAAATTAACAAATATTTAATCCTTTGAAAATGATAGTGGATTTATTAGAACTTATACTCAGTTATAAATCTCTTTGTTAAAAATGTCAAACAATTTTGTTTATGTATTACATCTGCAAATTTAGATTATTTTTGTAAAAATATACTTACAATTAGTATTTGTTCTTTTTCACAAATATTGTTATTTCGATTTCTTTTTGGTTCCTTAAAAATAATTAATGCCTTTTAACATAAATTAAAGTGGTCTTATAGAGCCAGCGTCAGTAACTATGTTACAAATTTTGACATCAGTTTCAAAGGATTAAGAGACTTTTTAAAATGTTCCAAATATAATTTATTATCTGTACAAACTTTTATAATACACATGCTCGGAAAGTATACTTAACGCACTTATAAATTAAAAGATTCAGTTGATTGTTATTTGAACGAATCTTTCTAATATTTAACGATTACACTGTTTCATGAGCTCAATATCTACATATATCGTTTGCATACGCTGAATTGTTATGCAAATGCAATGAACATAGCCTAAAAAAGAAAACAAAAAACAACCTTATACGTAAATCGATTTAGCACCCTGGAAAAATTTAAACATTAAGACGTAAGTTGCAAGGAAATCAACATAGCTTACGACGTAAGCAAGTCTAACGTAAGCCTTACATTATGAATTTACGGTTTCTATTGTGATTGGCGAATTCGTATTTCGTTTACGTTTTAAAGGCTTTCTATAATAAGCAATTAGTAATAAATAAATAAATATATATATATATATATATATATAGAATAGAATATATTAACAATAAATCAATAATAATGTGATTGGTCAATTTCTAGCTTCTGATTTATTACTGATGAGTTGTTGTAGATAAGCCTGTTGTTGTTTAAGTTTTTTTTGTGCCATGACTTTTAACGATTCTATGTGTTATCTCATTGTACTTCTCGCCCGAAATAGCCGTTACAGAAGCGATGGAAGTATTGCATAACACGGCAATGCACTTTTCGATAAACACTTTCTCTCTTCTATTTACCTACGCAATACGAAATGGAAATGCGTTTGTTTAGAGACACCCGATAAATGATAGCCAATAAGACCATTTTACAGACGATAAAAGAATTTATCATTCGAGTTGTTGAACTCCGACCTGGCGAACACGATCCGCTTATTGTAGATCTGTTCGCAGGGGAGCCACGCAATTGACGCGTGTCTCTTCTCGCGATAGGATTGTTTATCATTTGCGCCGCTTTTGCGTAAGTACAGACTGCTCAAGAATTTCTTAATCGCGACTGATTTTTCTATTTATTTAAATTCGATTTTAGTGAAAATTCGTGCTCGCTAACATCATTATTTTTAATATCACATGAATGTCTTTATATCAAGAGTATTTCAGAAAAGCTATATCAAGAACGAATTGTTATATAGGATAAATATGTAGATAAAAATTCTTATATAAATATTTTGAAAAAAATAATGTTCAAATAATTTAAAATAATACTACTTTTATAGAAACAAAAGTTTATGTAGTCGTTTAAATTTTGCTTCAAGCACGTTTTCGAAATTTCATTCAGTCAAATAATGGAAAACAATTTTTAATTAATAAATCGCAAGAATTCTATTTTTAAATACCTATAATATAAAATTTATGAATCTCGATTTTTAAAAAATCCAAAATGTTTAAAAATAATTTGACAATTGATATTTTTCATATGTGTGATTTACTTTTTTTGTATACTAATTTTAAATAAAAAAATCAATTCCACTATATTTTGAAATTGTAATGGCAATATTATCTGTTGCAATCACTCGACAACTGCAGTGTTCTCAATTCTTTTGTTTTTCACATTGCATTAAACGTTGATTAATAATCAACAATAACGTTTGTTCTAGAATAGAATTTAATTTCTAGCACAATTACTGTCATTGACAGTCGAAAGTCATTTGTATCATTCACATCTTGCATCTGCACGAAAGTATGGATTATCTCGTCTGTGAATAGTAATTCTATTATGCGCACATTTACACACATATAACATATATATATATAGATAAGATATTACATAAAGTCACTCTTACATATGTTTTTCAATCAATTTTAGTGTTCTTGTAATAACTCTTTATCATTGTTTATCTTTAATACCTCATGTGATTCATGTGACTTTTCCAACCTTTAATACTTTTTATACATAATAGCGCTTATAATGTTTTCTTTAGTGGCTTTGAATTGTTTTTAAAAAATCAAGATAAAAAAACGGATAGATTAACACTTTTTGTAGGTAGTTATCTTCTTAGTTAAAAAACTAAAAAAAGACCGTATACACATATAAATCATTAAAAAGAATAATAATCTAATTAGCGACGTTTTTTTTAATGAAGTTACATAAAACATTTAATTTTAGAAGATATTTGTGTGTTTATTATATATTACTATTGATAATTTAAAAAATACAAAGAGAGTTATTATAGTTTAATTAGTTTGTTTAATTGTTTTCTAATTTTTATTCATGTTTAATTAACTGTTATTTATGGTACTGAATTTTTATAGACAGTGTAACACACACATCCCCACACACACACACACACACACACACACACACACACACACACACACACACACAGAATTAATATTATAACGAAAAATAAATACAATCATTAAGCTAATAGAAATTTTGTTATTTCTTTTATATGGATATGTTTGCATTTATATTACAAATATTTTGCATATTATCTTTTCAATTAAAGGCAAAATTTTTAATAAATGTGTTTAGCGAAAAGAATGCAAATTGGACAAAGAATTTACATCTTATATTTCTTTTTTACTTTTTTGTGTTGCTTTTGCGAAATTGAAACGTTTCAATAAAACCTATTTCTAAAACACGTTTGCGCTAACCTTCTGTAGCACAACATGCATTTATCGGCGCTAAGACGTCTAATCTGTTCATTTACTTCCATCATCATTCACGGATTCATCATTCAATTATTTGTAATCAACATACGAATATCTACACGCATAAACAATGACATCGTTATTTATAAATCATTTAACCAGAAATTTGCGTAAACAAACGATAAAAATTGCTTTTGAACGTTTACTTCGCATTTCATGCCTTTGGACATACTTGAAATAGTTTTCTTTTCAACAATACCTTGTTTAGAGAATATCATTGTACATGCTCTCTCTAAAGTCTTTGAAGTAGAATCTAACTCTAAAGAATGAAGTCTCACTCTTAATAATTGACAATTGAACCACTCTTTTTCAACACTGGCTCAATTATCACTGTTTGTCACTCTTTAGAATTAAATTTCTCTCTAAAGATTTTAGAGAGAGTATATGATACTTATTTTCAATATTAACTACCTTAACAATAACATTTTTATTAAAACTCTATTGGTGTTCAAATTTCGTGAAAGCAATATCTTATGCATGAATTATTGGCGATTTTATTAAGTTAGGATACCAGAAATGACTGTTTAGGGCTCTAGAATTTTGAAATATTAACATATTTGTTTTTACATCGTTGAGGAAGTTGCTAGCGGAAGACTTCAATATATCGGAAGAATGATGCAAACTCAGTAATAGTGAAATCCATCGTAGATATGAAATACATCTATGTATCTATATTTCTTCGCTTTTACGCTCAACCTTGAATTATTTTTCGGATGTAGGAAGTCGTGCCAGGTATGTGTTCGACGACCTTCTTTCCTTTTTTCTTCTCTTCTCTGTCTTTCCCTTTTTCTCTCTTTCTCTCTCATCTTTTTGTCCCGTCGCTTCGTCAACGAGTGAGAGTGCCTCTCCGACATCTATTTTTAGCCGTCCTCACCACGTAATTCAATGCTCGACATCCATGCGTCTTGCGGTCGAATGTAAAGCGACAGTAACTATCATCAAAGAACCATACGCGTTGACCGCAACAGTGCAACCGGAATTACGTCACAATTGAAGATAATATATACAGAAAGAAAAAAGAAATAATCGCTCTGTGCATTATTTTCACATCGAAAAATCCTTAATAATCACAAATAGTCCCATTTAAGGCTTGTTTTACACATGATATTGCTTTTTATTTTTGATGTCTATAATTTTATATTTCAAGATTAGGCAAGTCTTCTTTAGATAAATTGTATTGTTTCTTTAGATAAGATGTTTAATACCGTAAATTAAAAAAATTATCAAAAATTATCAAGCCAAGAATTAATTTTTTTAATTAAAATTGATTATTTCTTTAAGATTTATTATTTTATTATAAATTTATTATTTATTTCTTGATAAATGAATTTATTAAGAGTTGAATCTCCTACTTTCTTGGATATTTGTAGATACATTTGACATTACGGATTCGTCAAATGTTCCACTGTTATACTTTTTTGATGTTTTCTTTCTTCTATAGATACATTAAAATTTTATTATAAATGTTTATCTTGTTTTTTTGTAAAATCTTTTAAACAAGAATTCATATTTTTATATTGTCTTTACAAAAATATCAGATTTTATTTGCCTTTCTATAAAAAAACGTTAACAATTTCGTATATATTAGGTGTACAAAAAAGTTCTGAGCTTTAGATTTGATACAACCGAAATAACAATTTAAATTTTATATATCTTCCCGCCCTTTTGGGGTTTTAAAACAGTAACATTTAACCTCCTGAAATGCGATACGGTTTGGCGTTTGATGCACATAACCTCAAAAATCAGTAGTGTTCACGATGGCAATTACAAAAGAGCATATTCGATTTTCCATCCACTTCGCGTTTCATCTGAAGAAAAA